AGCAGAGTAATGAAGCCAATTCATAGAGGGGGATTATTAGGAGGCCATGATTGGTAAGGGCCAATGGGAAATTTGGCCAGGACGCCGGGGTTACACCCCTACTCTTTTCGATAAGCACCCTGGGAGTTTAAATGAAAGAAGCACTTGATCTTGTTCAGTACTCACTGACCTGTGGCAGTATTTTATTATTTACCTTTTATAGATTATTTATACTCAGCTGTAAACAGGATGATTAGTTTAACTAAAAATATTTTACTAAATATTCAAGTACTATTTGACCTCTACTACTATGATTGACTATTATTAATTAACATATATCACTATTTTAAAAATATGATAACACAAACAATATTAAATTGCAGCAATAGTCACAATTTAGCCATAACAAATGAGCAGTGACATTCCAGAAGTTTATTTAGGCACTTTATTGAAGAAGATACCTACTCAGAGAAAGCATCTGTGTAGTCTTGAAAAGAGCTTAACAAGTGCACATGGATAAAAGAAGTTAAAAGCATGATAAATACTAAACATAAGTGAAAGAAACACATAAACACACATAATCTGCATGGGCAGGGAAAGACAATCACTTGAAAAAACATGCTACTCCTATGCTAAATAGTAATAACAGCGTCTCCAATATCGTCATTACAATGTCTGTTAAGGCCACTGAGAATCGGGGACATGCAGAGCCGGGAGTGGAGAGGAGGTGGGAGCAGGAGAGAGGCAGAGTGGGCACTCAGGTGGTGTGAAGTTAAGAGAGGGGAAGAGAGGTGTGAAGTCAAAACCTGCACATTATCTTACAGGATGATCCCTCCACTGGTACCCTTTCTTTTGACCGCCTCATCATCTCATATTGTCGACCACCTAATCTGCTGTCGACTTTCCTCTCTTTCTCACACCTGAAGAAGGCTCCACAGCCAAAACGTTGTGTTTCTTTTCTTCTCTTTTCAGCATAGAATAAACCTTTACTTGTTCAATTTAACACACGTAAAATACCAACATGGGCAGCACAGTGGCATACTGGTTTAGCATTGCTGCCTTGCAGCACAGGGTCCTTGGGTTTATTTCCGGATGTACTACTAAATTATTTAATCATTTATATAGCATCAATGCCCTCCTCAAATTATATTATTGTCTTATAAGTGCTTATTGTCTACTGGCTTGGACATGGATTTGTTTGTTCATTTTCTAAAATGACACTGCCCTGTTATTATATTAGAAGCACAAAAATAAAAAATGCAACCACCTTTCCATTAGAAATAGAATAAAATACAATGCAATGTGTAGAGATTGTAGCTCTAATATAAAATCAGTTACATTTTACGACAATTATAATCTTAAACAATTATGATATTAAGTAATTAAGGACATCCAGACTTTTGCCCAAACATGAGAAAAGCTCTTTGAAAAAGCTTTCAATTTTCAATTTAACTTAATTTTGGTATTAATGAGCTGCTATAGCCTAAGAAAGGTCTAACACAAGAAGAAATATGTGGAGCCAAAAGGTCTTTTCTGGAACTTACTGTAAACTAGACGTTAACCTATTGCATTTAATCATCTTGCAGGCAATATGAGGGATCAATTTTTTCTCCAGCCAGTAGCCGGTGTAGCTTTTTCATAATATTATAGGAATGTACAGTTGTGCAGTATCCAAAAAATTGTATTCTGCAATGTTTTGTATCTTGTTCTTGTATTTGTATAGCTTGCCATGTTATGTGTTATGTATGTAGCAGATTAAGAAGGACCATTGGTAGGCCTGAGTTTAGAGGGTTACCCTTGTCAAGCATAATACTTAAGAGTTTAGTCCTCTGCCTGATAAAGCAGGTTTAAAAACTGTTGCAGATCCTAGAAAATAACATAAGAGTAATTTCATTTACTTTCACTAGAAACTCCCACCCAGTTTCTCAACTACCACTGCTGATCCCAGCAACAGAACCTCCATCTTTAAAGGATTTAACTTCACACGATTTCTCTGCCTTTCTGTGGTTGAACAAGGATGTGGAATTTGACCATTCAGCCGAAAATGTTTGAGACTGTGATTGCTGGCTGGGGTAGATTGTTATACCCAAGCTTTGCAGGAGATGCCTAATGTGATTGAATATGGCTGTGGACGGACATTGTGGATATTGACTAGGTATAGTTTGCCATGTCCTGACAATTACTTGCTGCTCCTTTGGCTCATATTCAATCCTACTGTAACCAAAAAATACAGTACAAGCTACACTAGAATTAAGTTTTGTGATCTGACCAATCAGATGATCACAGGATCACATGATTTGTCTGGATTGTGAGTAACAAACCTCTGCAGTTAGGAATTCTGTAAGGGCTGGCAATGAATACTCTTGAAAGGTCATTTTTTAAAGATGATATACATTTTTGGATTGAGAACTCATAAATGGCTAGTAGACCAAGAATAATAGTTGTGAATGTTCAAATTTGGGTGATAAACTTAGTGGGGTACCACAAGGATCTATACTAAGATCACTGTGTTTCTTAATCTACTGTATATTAATGTTCTAGATTCTTGAATAGTTGGTAAACTAGTTTGTAGATTATTCAAAATTAGGAGGCTTGGTAAATTCTGTAGAAGCAGCAAATGACATTCCAGATTATTTAGATAACATTAGGAGCACATACTAGTGAGACACCAATAAGATGTCAGGAGTCTGGAAGTCATTGGCAGCACAACAGGATATAGAAGCACATATCCACTAACAAGAAACTCTAACCATGTTATCAGAGTATGAGGGAGTGGAAGGAAGGCTACAGCTGCACACCTGTGTTAGTGTGTGTTTTAGTTTCAGTGTAATATTTTGTGGGTTTATTTGTAGGTTTCACTGTGGGCGTGTCTCTATACATGGTTAAGGTTAGAGGCAATTTGTAGTAAAATATGTATGACTGCATCCTACTCACCCTCCTGACTGGTGGTAACTGCAACAGTCACACATGAGCGCCCATTCGCAGACAGCTGGTAGCCATGGTAACAGTGGCAGCGGAAGGAGCCCATGGTGTTCCTGCAGACCTGCTGACACAGAGACGCCCCTCCAAACCGGGAGCACTCATCCACATCTGAGACAGGAGAGACATGCAGCTAAATAAGAAGTGGGGGTGAACTACAACCTACCAAGTTAATATAGTATCTGCAACACTGTTCAATGCTCACTGTAGCAGGTGAGAACATGAAACTGCCAAACATAATCTGGAAAAGCCAGCATAACGGCGGTTTTTATTCTTATGTTCCTATTGTTGATTTAAACAGTCAATATATAATTCTTTGAAAAACAAGTCATCCCCAGGATCAACAGATCTGTCTAAATTGTTTGAGGTGGATTTAAAGTTCCAGTCCACAATATCAGATAAACTTAATCCCTAATGTTACTCCATTAAAAGGGACATTATGAACATTTAAAACATATTTATAACATGGTGTATTAGTTTTCTTCTTAAATCTGCCAGCAGCCATATCACTCTGCAACTCACCATGGCAGCGTTTCCCAGAGACATGCTACTTTGACAATATAGAAAAAAGTACACAGTATAGAACACAGATTTTTTGGGTAGACTGTGTAGTACCAGACACCTGTTGGCTTTTGTTGCCACCCAGCAGACCCAGAGGAATATGCAGAGAAGTGGGGAAACAGAGACGCAGAGGAAAATTCTGCAGACAGAATGACATTTTGATGAGACTCACCTTGGCAGCTCCGCCCATCCTTTGCCAGGCTGTATCCATGAGAACAGCTGCAAATAGGGAATCCTCCAATCAGAACACAGCTGTGCTCACATCCTGCAGACAGGCAGGAGGTGTGACTTCCTGGACAACACAAGATGGTCAGTCACAAAGAGATTGTTTTCTGAGAAGGATTCTGTGACAGGATTACAGGGGAAGAGAAAGACGAAGAAACCAGAGAAAAATGAAAAGTCATACAAGGAGCAAAGACCAAAGGAGAAACAATGGGAAAGACAAAATAAATGATCAGGTAATTAAGTGTTTATACCAAAACACTAGGAGAATCAGAAACAAATTAGATAAAATAGAAGCTACCACATTAGTAGGTAATTGTGATGTTATTGGAATCACTGACATATGGCTATCTTTAAATGAAGGGGAAGAATATAACCACCATTCTCATAAGGGCTTACACACTGTTCTGCAAAAACAGGAAAAACAGATGTCAGGGAAGTGTTGTACTATGCCAATGAGTACTTGAGTCTAGTAGCCTAAGGCAGTGGAATAAGGAGTCTCCAAGTTTATGTGGGTCAGACTCTTTGCATTCCAAATGTATAGTGATAGGAGTATGCTATACCACCAAATACAAATGTTAATCATATGCCAGCACTATGATATTAACTTAAAAATATATTTTTATTCTAAAGAATAAGTAAATTGCATGGGAGACTTCAACTTCCCCAACATAGACTGGGAAAGTTTTATAGAAACTGCAGAAATTGAAATGACTTCTTAACCTGTTTGCTAGAACACCTACAAGAGGAAAAGCTTGTACAGATCTTGTCTTTTAAACAATCAAGACAGAGGCAAACAGGTGAGAGAACCATGAGGGAACATATATTATGATGGGCTCTGAAGTACAATATAAAGCTGTACAAATTGAATCCAAAGCAAAAGTTTACAATTTCTGGAAAGCAGATGTAGAAGGAATGAAATACTATACAGTTAAAGTTAAGTAAAATGGCATAAGGTAGACATTAAATTAGTAGAGAAATAATGGAAACAATTTAAATACGGTAGATTCTGCTTAGAGCCCAGAACAGATTTATCCCAAAAGTGTAGAAGCCAGAAGCTAAAATTCAGTATCCCAAATAGTTTAACAAAGCAATTAGGACAAATTGCATGGCAAAGGGAACACTTTATCAAAGAACAACAGGATTCAGTTAAAGAATACACTGTATTGCAAGCACTGGTAAACAACAATATTAGAAAGGTTAAGAGATACATTGAAAGGAATATTACAATGGAAAATTTAATGTATTAAATGAGTACAGTAAAACCTTGATATTCACAAGTTCTACATTCCCGATCTCATCTATTCACACAAAACATTTAGTGACCGCTTTTTTTTGGATTCACAGATCATATTCACCTATTCACAAGACACACCTTAAGAGAGTACATTACAAGCACTCCCTTGTGGATCTTTATCTAAAAAATCTACTTCACCCTATCTGCATCAGCCTCTATAGTCAAAGTATAACTTAGTAAACAAAGATTTAACATGTTTATGTAGAAGTGCATTGTAGGTTGAATTGTATTTCAGTTCATTTCCTTCAGGAAACTGAGTAGTTATCAGAGTAGTACATTGTATGTGAGTGTTGTGCTGTGAAATAAAAAGAAATGTTAAATAACAAACAAACCTCCGTGGTTCCCTAAATTATAGTCACGGACGTCCAAAGGGACTAACCGTGGGGAGCAGGAGAGCGGAAAAAGACCCATATGCGTAGCGGCGAGACGGGAAAAAGGCCCGGGCTTATTAGTGCAAAGAGTTCAGGAATGCCATATAGAAACCTATGCCCTCAGGGAGCGGACGTGGGGCGCCCTGGTGCTAGGCGGGTCTCAGGACATCCGAATATCAATGCTGAGCGAGGACAGAGTGCAAAACCCGGAAATATATAGCCCAAGGGAAAGAGAGGGACAGGAAGTAGACAGGAAACTAGGGACAGGACAGAGAAGGAGCGCCCTCTGGCTGCAGAGGGCGTGACAATTATCTCAGTTCATGCATGTCTCACAGAAAAGGATAACAAAAGAAATCAGAAGAGAATTAGTCAAACTGCAGGAACAGGAAAGTGAGTTGTTTTTAATTGGAAGAGAGTGAGTGTACTTTATTTTCTTGTCTTTTATTACTGATCTGTAAGTAATGAACTTTATTATAGTATGGTAGTGCTGCATTTATTATAGTAATAAAAACAAGACAGAAAAATTAAAGAAAATGTAAAGACTGTTAAGAATTAAAAAAACAAACTTTAATAGAAGGTATGCTAAAATATCGTAAAGAGTGATCAAATGTATTTGTTTGTGTATGCAATAACTTGAAAAACATGTTTTTAAAGTATCCTGTATTCATTTTCTTTAAGAACACTGCCAATAAATACTAATGCTATTTTTAAAATAGTTAACAATGATATCCAAAATACAAGTATGGAAATGCTTGTTTTGTGAGCATTGGAACCATACCCTATTTTCTCCAACATGTCCTGCACTCACATATTTGCCAGTTACAGAGCCTTCAATGTACCTTACTCTTGTGAATACAGAGCTTTTACTGTATTTCACTTAGCTGTTCATGAAGGAAGAAGTCAACAACATGCCTCTGGCAGTGGAAGGAATGAGTTCTGTAGTGGATAGTATTAGCACAGAGGAGGGAAAAGTGTTGGTGTTACGATATTGGCTCCCCGCCAGCAGAGGGTACCTTGCTCGCAAGCTTCTACAGGGGAAGGCGTAGATCACGTAGGATTAGATAACGAATCAGACCTCTCGTTTACCACCACACCTCCACTCACTAGAGCACTTGAGCCCAGCTCACAATAGCTACCTTGCTCAGTATTGGGTGTTACCTAGTGAGGTTCGCTTCCTGTTTCGTGCATGTACTTTCCTTGTGCATGTTTTCCTGGTTTTTGGACTAAGGCTTATCTTTTGACCACAATTCCTGGATTACGTCTCTGTTTCTGTGCTGGATCTCCATTTACTGACATACGCTTCCTGGTTTTTGGACTAAGGCTTACCTTTTGACTATGGTTCCTGAATTATGTCTCTGGTTCTTCACTGGTTCTCCAATTACTTATGTACTCTTCCTGCTTTTTGGACTAAGGCTTCTCTACTGACTACGATTTCTGGAACACGTACTTGGCTCTTCTCTGAAATCTCTTTCGGTAAAGTACTCTTACCCTTCGCCTGAATCTCCAAGCGATTAGAGTCAATAACAATGTCTCGTTCTCACAGCCTCCGCATAAGATTCTCCACTCCCGCTACTCACAGCGTCACCTTTGTAACAGTTGGGGGCACTCAAGATTAATAAAACCCCAGGGCCCGATTATATCTAATCAATTGCATGTAAGAAAAGAAGAAATGTTATTCAGAAGCTATTCAATTGTCGAACAGTTGCTTAAGACAAGGGTTGTCTACCCAAACAGGAGAAATAACACAATAAGGGTGAGATAAATAAAGTAATTATACCAAGTCAAATAAGTCTTATTTCAATAACATGTCAGGATTTAGAGAAGACATTTTCTTATCTTTGAGGTAGATCCTGGTGCTGGGTTCAGATGCTGAACGTGCATGTCCTGACAGGATATGACATTAGAACCTGGAATGCCAGACAAGATGGCAGACCCAGGAAACCTCAGCTACCTACCTCAAACAACTATGACTCCAGACCCAGGAGGGCAGAACAGCAGCCCTGGACATTCTCACAATCCATTATAATTAATGAGCCACAAACCCATTGCCTACAGGGGGCAACCACTGGGCCTGAGACCCTTTTTTCCTAACAGGTAGGTTGACAGGCTCAAGGAGCTGAATATTTTGAATCTTGAACAGTGAGGACTGCAAGGAGACCTGATACAAGGCACTGACAAAGTAATTTGTTCTAAATGAGCAGAGAAACATGAACCAGAGAAGACAAGTAGAAATTATGTGGAAGTGTTTTAAAACCAGGAACAGGAGGTACATCTTTACCAGAAGGGTTTTAGGAGTATGGAATAACCCTGCCATGTCACTGAAGCTGATACCCTGGTTTCCTTCAGATCAATTAACTACTATTAAAAAAGCCAGATGGATGAAAGGGCATCCTCTCGTTTGTAACCTCTCTTATGTTCTTATATTGTAGAGAAAGACACAACTACTAATAATCAGCAATACACAAAGACATCATCCACATGAACTTACATCATTATACACACAAACGCAGTTAATTGTTTTCTTACACAGCAGCAAATTTTGCACACAGTACCAAAAAAAAACATTTGCTGAATAAAGTGTTTTAGTTTTTGCCATCACATTATCACAATACACAACAGTTTTCCAAATGCCTAAATGGCCTTTCATGATTGTGAACCTCATGTTCTTCTGTCCTCATCCCTAATTGTTCACATTATTCCCAATGTCTCTCAGCACTCTGTCTTAGTACTGCCAGTCAATAGGGATTTCACTTCCTCCCTGGAGAGTTTTTTAACGAGCTGCTGTGCAGGAATGTAATCAGTGTGGCTCTGTTTCTGTGTTGCAATTATGATCATTTTAATGAAGACATCAGTCCAGGCCAGCCAAACCACAGGCCCATAATAGCCAGCCTCAGCAAAATGATACTGCGGCCCTAGACATTTGCTCCATGTCTTAGAGCTGAAGGGAAAATGACTCAGTTCATTATGCTGTGTGATAAAGAACAATGTTGGTTGAATAAAAGCATCAAGTGGAAAAAGCCATCACAGTTCTATTCCAAAATCCCAGAAACCATAGAATTCATTAAGAGGGCTCCTGCTCCTAATCCTGTGTTCGTGTACATAATCCAAAAATCCAACATTTTTTGAATGTTTCTAAAATAAATGTGTGCAACTGAACACAAATTGTACAACACAGATATTTCATATAGCCATGTTCATACAGTAAAATGGAGCTGAGCTGTTTTCCAGGAAAGCTGGAGGAAAGAATGCCCTCAGCTCTGTCCCTGTGTCTGGTAGCAGGACAGTTGCTTTCAATGTGCTATAAAATTGAGGCAGCTGCAGGGATGGACTGATACACTCCTTTAAACATTATAAAGAGAGGAGACCATTTGGCCCATCTAGCCTGTTTGGTAGTTAGTGGCTAATTGATCCAAGGATCCCATATGATTAGAGTTTCTTGTCAGTGGGACTTGGCTTGCTAATCCTGTTGTGCTGCTAATGGCTTCCAGAACCCTGACATCTTATTGCAGTCTCACTGCCTTGTGCCCCACAGCCTAGTACTGTACTCTGATCATCACAGCATAAGAGCATACAGAGATGAGGAAAGACCATATTTAACAAATGCAGCCAGTCTTTTGTTCTAGCCCTGTCAATTGTAAGTAGATAGGTCAAGAATATCATCCAACTCTTTGATGAAAAAAAACAGGCTACAGGTTTCAACCAAATAGCCTGGCAGCTTGTTGGAGCATCCCGCAAAACTGCAAAAACGTCCTCCTGTTCACAGTTTTAAATGCACTTCCCCATAGTTTCCACTTGTGTCGTGTTTCACTGTTTATTCAGAAGTAATCTGCTGGTTTGACTTCGTCGGTGCCTTTAGGGATTTTGAATAATTGTTTCAGGTTTCCTTGTAGTCTTCTCTGTATAAGTCTAAAAACATTCAGCTCTTTCAGCCTGTCAGTGTAGGACATCCCCTAAAGCCCTGGAATGTATCTGGTTGCTCTTCTTTGGACAGATTCCAGAGCAGTGATATCTTCACGAAAGGTTACCAAGTCAAGGTGATTTTTTACTGTGCTTTCCTGTAAATTATACCTTAACAAGCCTCCATTGTGCTGTCATCATCATCTCTGACTCTTTCTTTCAATGACCTATTCTGTGGTTTGGCCCTGTCTTTGTCACTTTAAATGTCTCTGTTTCTACCATCTGTGAGTGAGGTGTTCTCATCTCTTCTTGTCCTTTGCTACTGCCTATCTCTTTTGTTCTTTCTCTCTCCCTCTCCTACCCCACTCTTTCCCTCTCCATCTTTTCTCTCCTTCTTTTTCTAGCTGTCTCTACCCCCGTCTTGTAGACGGGGGACTTCACAAACTGGTGGGGGATGTTTCTGTTTTCCTTTCTGCCTGAAAATACTCTGCTGGGGCAGGATGGTGGTTTGATGGTATGTTGTGTGGATTTTTGCTTTGTGATTAATAGTTTGAATAAGCGAACCCTCTGGGGGCTGCAGTGGCAGCAGGCCCAGGCTCTATAAATACTCCTCCCTGGGTGCTGGGGGGGCCAGGCAGGGTTGGGGGCTCCAGTGTTTAGACTATGTCAGATGGCAAGCAATCTGGCAGCAGCAGCCACAGAGTCCTTCGTGTTATTTGCAGTAAATCACTGCTCATAGTAAGAGTGTTGTAAAACACACTGAGGATTTTTCAGGCTAGGTGCTCAGCACTTGAATCACTGTGAAAGATGTTGATGTTGTGGAGAGGCTGTAGTGCCAATTTCGCTTGTAAATTTACTATTGCAAACCTAAATAAGGGGAGCAGGTGCCTGTAGTAAGTTAATTGTAGTCACAAACTCTCATTGTGTGTGATACTGAATCACAGCCCTATCCTGGAAACGGGTGACATGATGCTGACAAGCCTGGAGTCTCTTTGCTTCACAAGGTGTTCAATTAACTGCACTTACATCATTAAAATGCATCTAAATACAGTGTATCGGTAAAGCTGAATTGTCATAATAGGACAGATCAACAAAGGAGGCGACAGAAAAATGAGGGATGACGTTCATTTTATCTTTTTTGCATTGAGTTGCTATAAACCCCTAAGCGGTGTACAGGTCTGGGTTCACTGAGAACATCTAGACTGCAGAGTTCACTGGTGCTGGTGCATCAGTAAGGAAAGGGACATGTTCTTTCTATTGCAGCAATTCATAAGCACCCCAAATGGTGGCATTCTTGAAAAAGGAATAGATTGTGACCCATTGACTTGCCTAAAGTCTCAGTCTGGGCTACCTGTGATTTGTGTATGTGGTGTACTTAGTTAGGTAATTACTCTGTCTGCCTTATCAGCTGAGCTATGCAATGCCTTAGTGTTACCCAAGAGAAGGCAGCACTTTGAAGATCTAGAAAGAGAGTCCACTCCCACTATAAAACTGTTCGATGCTCTGGGATGAGCAGGGCTGTGTGAAAGAAAGACTATTATAAATACTATTTAAGAACATTTGCATGTTAACATACAAAAAGGATCCCATTGAGCTTGATTGGTTGCTAGTAGCTAACTGACTTGAGGGTCTCATCCAGTGATTCATTGAAAAACAACAGGGTACCACCTCAGCAACATGGGAGGCAGCCTGTTTTCCAGGCTGCCACAACTACGTGGGTGAAGAAGTCCTTCCTGTCACGATTGTAAGTCCCTCCTCTTTAGGGCGCACCTACTCTTTCTGGCTTTTGCACCTGCCTCCTGTTTCAGCCTTTTCCTTTAAAAGCCAGACGCTCCTACCAATCCAGACTCAGCTTTGGGAGATGGACCCCCGGAAGCGCGCCTACCAGCGAGTCCAGGAGAGGCTCGACGGCATAGGCTTTGCAACGGCGACCATCTGGGTCCAGGGCTTGGAGTTCCTGGCCCTGTTACCCCTTTATGCCCCCGACCCTTTGCTGGATCCCGCTCCGGCTTTTAACTTTCGTTTTGTCTGTCTTGGATGGATTACCCAGCTCTGAACTTTTGATTATTCTGGATTTCCCTACGGACTCCCTCTGGATTGTCACATGGACCACGCCCCCCCGAGCACCAGCGCACCACCGACATGCCCCCCTGTTCTTCTACCAGCCCCGATCCTAATCTTCTTTCCCTGTGTTTATTTCACTCACTTCTGGATTCTGCCGTCCTGAAAAACGCTCCGTGACACTTCCTGTTCATGTTTTCAAGTGCACTTTGCTGTTGTGCAGCATGAGGTGTTACTCACCCTCCTGCGAGCTGTCTGCAAGGTCATCAGACATGAAGTCCCCTGCAAGGCCTTCACCTAGAATGATGACACAGAGGGACATATATGAGACTTATACAGTATGTGCCCTGTGTTTATCTCAACAACAGACAGCTGTATGGAAATGAATTCTATTTAATAAACATATTCTTTGGTTGTCTCTGTTTGAGCCATAGCTGATATGAAGCCCTGTACATAGTTCATCCTTTCTCAGTACTTGTTCTCCTCATCATCTTTAACAAGCTCTAGCTCTATATACTGTAGATTAGAAATCACTTATACTGCAAAGTGTCCTTCTCATCAAATCTCTGCTGATTTCCATTGTATTCTTTATTTTTCAATGTGACTACTCTGCTTCAAGCCTTCTGTCTGCTTGCCATCTTTGTTCATATCCACTGCTCCATTCCCTCTTCTGTCCTCTGCTTCTCCTCAGCTGACCAGATATAATTCCCTCTGCCAGCCACATAGCGGAACCAGCTGCCAGCAAACATCTCTCACCATACTCTAGCAACTTGCTAGCTAGAAGAGCTCTTGCAGATTCAGCAGCTGCTCCTCTGTCACACTCATTGACTACTGCACAGATGCCGGCCCAGTTCATCACAGTTTACACTTCTTCCACTTCTTGGCACGTTCCTGCAATATCCTAACTCCTGTACTGCACCAGTATGTAAACTGTTTACAGAAATATTGGAGAGAAACGTTGTCTCAAAACAGTGAACTCAGCACCCATCTCCAGAGAGACATGTACTAGGTCAATTTCACCTTTATACAGTATACACAAGAACATAAGACAGGTTTCAACTGACAGAAAATCATTTGGTTTCTACTTCAGTGCAGTTGCAGATGTGTGATGATCACTGGTGACTGGTTGCATATGCTTCTTGCTCCCTGACAGGAGCCAAGAAAATATTTGCACATGAGAGACTCTACTAATTCAATCCATCTTACTCATGTGGCTACTGATAGCTTACTGATCACAGAATCTGATCAGACATCAGACAGACAAACACAGATCATTGTTGTGTTTTGGGGTTTCAGTTCTTAAAGGAAATATGAACAGAAAGCTGGTAATAGTGCTAAAGATACAACCAAGTGACAAAAACAGGTTAGAATTCTTATCCAAACGTACTGGAAATAGCTCAAAAATAGATTTAACGGTATGCAAAATTCACAGTGTGTATTTTATTCTTTATGTTTAGTATAGGCTATTACAGTCATATGAACTGAACTCATTTTCTAACATCAGAGTTAGACAGGAGCTGCTAATCCCAGGTGATAACGGTGTCCATAACAGTCTCATTGGTGAGAATGCAGCTGGTGTAGAAAACAGATTTTTGCATCAGACTATAAATGGAACCGGAGTTTTCACAATCTTCAAAGCCACTGCAACAATGTCGTCACTACCTGCGTCTTATTCAGACAGCTGGGGGATTTGCAAGGGATCAGAGATAATCTCTCTGATCATTTCCGAAATTCTTTAGCACAAACAGATGTTTTGGGAAGACAATAGCACTCGTTATGTTTAACCGTCCTCCATTATAACATTCTCTGGTACAGAACATGGAAGGAGGCCCCAGTGAAAGACAAGTCTACTGGTTTCAGAGCTCTGGCTGTTGTTGACAGCCTTCAGGACCGTCCCACAGGTACAGGTCTGACAGCACAGAGGCTCTGCACTGAGATAAAACACTCAGTTTTTCCACCAGATAAAGTCCCTGAATTACAGAGACTGATGATAATTTCAAGCACAAACAACAGGACACCCCTGGCCTCAGTTTGTGCCTATTGTTTCTTACAGTCTGATAATCTCAGCTAGTGCTCAGTTTGGAACTCAGAAAGTAAGTAGCATCCCCTTTCCCTTTCTCAGCTCCTCCATAGTCCCCTCAATCACAACTTTCACAATGCTTTGATGAGCAGCAAAACTATCCTTTATTGTGTATAGTTCAGTACTGCTGCTGTAACAACTTCTGGCACTCCAAAAATTACTACAACTACTACTAGTACTGTAAATTCGCTCAAACTACTTCTGTTGAACAAAAGACTAATAAACATTGCAAATGAGAAATGACAATCTCGTTTGCTGCTGAATTAACTGCTCTGACAACTATCACTGTTAATTCTAACCACAATTGCAAATTCAAAATCAAATTGAAATGCACGCTAAATTTTTAGCAATAAAAGACAGATTGGATATAGGGCATAAATTGGTCTGGTGTTGTGTTACCAACTGCAGTAGTGTATTCTTTGTTGAGGATGCTAATTTTAGCATGAAGGGACCCTATAATGCTTATACTGCTTCTATTAATTTGATGAACCTTACGTTCATTCAGAAAAAAAAATGTTTATTAGAATTCTATTCTATTCTATTCATTGAATGTTTTTAAGCAGATACTTTGCATGTAGAAACTACACTCTCTTCCTGCCACAGTCAATGACTTTTCTATTCCTGCCCAGGTCACTGCTCAACATGATGTATTTGTGTCACTGTTTATTTATTTTTCAAATGTAATTTCTGTACCAAATTATGCAAAGTGGTTACACTGAAGTTTAATATGCTTGTATGGATTTATATTGTGCTCATTATGCATTGTTTTGTCTCATTGCAGACCATGTGACTTACCTTGGACACATGCAACAGCCCAAATTCTTTAAAAAATGTTCTAATGCCATACGTTTGTGCTTTAACTCTCTATGTCTACTGCTTTAAAGGTCAATGTCTGTATACCTCAGCATACCTTCACATGTGAGTTCCTTCTTCCCTCCATGACAGAGACAAACGTTTGGTGCCACACAGAGCCCACTGCCACAGCCCAGTGCACACACCGCTGGAGGGAAAGTAAGCATGTTTATTATCAGAGGGTACAGCTATTTTCCCCTTTTTTGTTTTTTAATGCTCCATATGTGCTCATTTCATTCACTAAACCTCATCAGAATGTATCCTGTACTTCTCTGTTTAAGTTACTGCATGTAAAACTGCATGACACAGCTTGTTTGAATAAAGTTCAATCAATCCAAAGGTGTTATTCATACAGTAGGCCTTTAAAAAGACAGTGTAAATGTCACTCAGGACAGCAGTAATACCCACTGACTGCAAAACTGCCACTGTACCAACCCACTATCTGTAAAAAGGGGGACAAGTAATTGTTTCTTACAAGTAATTATGAACCTTACACTTTATAATTCAATAAGAACACATGGTGCCAAATTAGCAAGCAAATTTACCATCGTTAACTTAAATAAGAGATGTTGGTTCTTGATAATGCTGGATTGTGAGGGTTGCATTCCTGTATTTCATTACATTCTTGACTGTGAAAAACAACACAGAATACTGTCAGTTTCTTCTCTCTTCACATGACATACTGTATTTATTACCATTTGCTGTTACAATCCACTGTCATGTATTTGATATAAGCATAGGCTGAAAGCTTTTTTATGCTTAAATGTAGAACAGCTGTACACCAACAGTAAGTATGTCTTACTGTTTAGTCACAATATATTTATTCTTTTCCATATTTGAACATTAGGCAACAACTTATATACATGTTTCTGCAGTTTCACATCAAAAACAAATTATGTTTGTAAAGCCCTGTCTTTTTTGCTTTTTACAAAAATGTGAAAATTACAGGAATGCTCAATGACAGGATGCCATCCTTGATGTTTACAAAAGACAGTAAACATGCTCCTTTATACTAATTCATTTGCACAAAGGAGAGTGTAAGGATATATTTTTGTTAATGAAAATGGAACTCTGTAATATGCTAATTATAACATTTAAATGATCTAATTTAACCTCAGTTATCCCATTTAAACACAATAATTATTGCATTTAAATGCAATGTTATCTCATTTAAATAAAATACTCTTTTTAATAATTAAATGTAATGTTATCACATTTAAATGCATTTCTTTTACCTGTGTGGAACTAATAGGTTTCCATAGTTAAGCAGGCCCCACCTTTTTATATATTTTGACTACTATCTCTGACAAGAGGAAACAAAGACAAAAGGCAAATATTTACAATATTTTTTTATTTTGTTATCGATATTTATTAATTTTAAATTAATAAGATATTTTTTAAATTTTATAGGAGCTATTTAAAATGGACGTTTCTCCCTCAAAACATGTACAGTACTATACTGTAATTTAGTGTGAGGCGAAGACAAGGACAAAACATTTCCCTACTTCCTACATATGTTAAATAATTCCTTTACTTTTTTAACAAAAGAAGCATCAAACTTGTATACTGCCTTCATCTAGATGCAATTACTTGTACCACTGATTTGCAGAAGATAATTTAAATCATAGCTCATGTTACGACCCCAAGTGTCTAGGGTAAAGGGGTGTAACATTTAGGGTAATTCTTTTGGAAGCAGGTGGGTTTTGGTGAGGGACTAGGAAGCGTGATAAGGGTAGGAACTAGAGTGGTGCCAAAGAAAAGAAAATAACAAACAAAATGGAGCTGGCTAGGACAGTGAGGGAAAGTTAATCTGACTACAAAAGAAAACCCGAAACACGGTCTTCGGCATCTTCAACACCCTAGCTAACCTGCACTGACTACCCAAAACCATACAAGACAAATGGCACTCACCCATACTAAACTAGTGTACTAATACAAAATCAACTAAGTGTGTAAAGTGTACCCAACAACCTAAACTAACCTTATATACAAAAGTTCACACAAAAACACAAGTGAAACAGGAATACAAATAAGGGAGAACAAGAGTAATCAACAGGAGCAGGGTACAAAGAACACAAAGGTTGAACATGTAACACTGGGGCAAGGAAATGGCAAAACAAGGATGAACACACAAACAAACGAAAGTACAAAGAAACTAACAAAAAAACAACAAAACAACAAAGCCGAAGCTATACAAAAATACACACACACAAAGCAAAACAAACGAAGCCGAAGCCGAAGCCATAACCAGAAGCAAAGCGAAGCGAAGCGAAGCGAAGCGAAGCGAAAACCAAACGGGACCGAAGTCAAACGAAAGGCCTCTCCGTGCTGAAAACCTCCATGTTATATGCTGAATAAGATGTGTTCTGATTGGCTAAGAGCTAATTGATGATGACGTCATACTGAAAGTATGGTGTAATGGTGGGCCAATGGGGAATTAGTGCAGGAAAGCACAAATGGGTTAATAAACATGTAATACTGTACTGATTCATCAGATAACCACATGTAGCTGCGGTACTTTAAGGATTCGCTGCACCACCTGGTAGTTTTACAGAGTAGTGCAGTCCTGCAACAGATTATTTGAAAAAATAAAAAAGCGATGATGTGATGCACCACGGAACCAACCACCATATACTGTACCTACTGAAACATTCAGTACACTGACAAGCTAAAGGATCCAGGTCCAAGTATTCATAATCCTCAAAAGCGTTGCCAAAAATGAATCCAGTGGACTTATCTAGAAACTACACTGAGGTATGAAGGACACAAATGGAAACTACATGGAAATGCATTTAAAACTGAAAACAGGGGCAATATCGTTAGCCATATTGTTGAAGCAGATACCCCAGCTTCCTTAAGTATCTGTCTGGATGAGATCTTAGCTACTGAAAAAAACTCTTCTGTGTGGAACCATTTCTGTTTTCTTATGAATGTTCTCAAAGCTATTTGTACACCAGTGCTTGGAGAAACCAAGTCACTGCCAGCAGATGCATTGGTATGTTCATGTATTTGGAAAGTTTGGTCATTTTCTACTCATTATCTTTGTGAATGTTTGGAATACCTGGTGAAATAAGCTTGGTTATACCCACCTGGTTAATGGGTAGCTTCCTTGCCATAGAAAGAGGAGGCTTGAACCCCACTCAGAAGGAGTGCTGCAAGGTGGGGTGGGGAGGAGGAGGGATGCTTGAGATTAATGCAAAGGGAGGCATTTCAGTTCAGTACAAATAGCTCATTTTGTAATGACGGTGATTAGGTGCAGCTGTATGAGTTATTATCCCTCCCAAACTTCAGTTAATAACTTCCATATAGCATATAATTGATTCAAACTTAATATTTTAATGGGTATTGCAGTGATTATATGAATCCTCATTTTAAATAGATGAATTAGGGTTTACAAATGAGCTAACTGCCTGGAATGCACAATTGTGGTTGTTGTTGTACGGTGAGAGAGAAAGATCAAGACTGCCAAAGAGGACTGAGAAAGCTGATAACAAACAGACCAGAGACATCAATGATGATGAGTTAAAACACTACCACACAACCATTCCTGGCGGTTTAACCCATCTAGTTCAGCAAAGAAGCGTTAAAAGCAGGTCCAGTCCAGAAGTACAGCAGGAGAGCCCAAGCAGATCTCTCCACAGACTCTGGCACAGACGCTTGCAGGCCAAGGGGAGACCTGGGAGACTGACACTCATTCTTCTGCTATCCAAGAACTACAGTTAAAGAGGTGCTTACACTACTAAAATAGAAATTCAAAACTTTATACTTACTTCTTAAATTACGTTTTAAAACATTTAAGATTTTTTTAGAGGAATATGATGCCTTTCTGATTATACCTAGCTTTTATCGTGAAGACTATAGCCAACACCAGTCCAGTAGATTAGATGGGCCAAAGGGCCTACTCTCAGTAACTGCCACTCTGATGTTCTTAGGTTCCATCACAGGCCTGTTTGCTGCAGGTATCTACTCAAACTGAGCATAGTCAAACTGCCAAGTCCCATTTGTGTTGTCATACAAATCAATTTCTGTAATTATTTTTCACTCCCTCATCTGACTGGTGATGCAGGATAGCATATCCCTCCTTACAGAGCAGTTCCATCATATTTTAAAATTTCCTTTAGTTTGTTGATCTCCAGTGTGGAAAACTCAATAGGTCTCAGGTTTCGTCAAACCTTGTTCCCGCTAGCTTCCTTCTGTTCCATGAGTTATCATTGCAGTTATGAAGGGCTTTTGGCTCAGCCCTGGTTTGTCAGTTTTCTCCCATACCAACTGTGTACCCTGCTTTTGCACCTCATTGCTGCTTGATTTTATTGTCACTATGGACAGACAGGACTGAGAGAAGACAATATTACTTACGTTTCACACAGAGGCCACTCACAGTCGATGGTGCCCACCCAGGACAGCACACAGTGCTCCCTCCAGAGTGACACACGTGGGGCCCTGAGCGATGCCTGAAGAGAGAAATAGAGGGACGAGTGTGGGAGTGAGGGTGGCAAGAGACATTGGGGACTAAGGTAAGCATTGGAATGATATTGAGAGGGACTTAGACAGGAGGTAAACACACTAAACGCAGCCTATGTACATTTGTGAGGGAATTAAAATGTCTGACAGAAGACTGAAACATGGTCATTTAAAATTTAAGCAGAGGGTTTATTTCCTGATTGTATCATTTGTACACCCTTTTAGTTCGTTTTTCTCAATTCTTTTTTAAACTATTACTTCAGGAACTTATGTCTGGTCACCTGTAGGATTGAAAGAATTACAAAAGTTTATTTTCATCACTGTTTTACATTTCTTCAGGAGCAATTTGAACCAACAACAGCTGAGTGCAAAACTACAGGTAGACAGTGTGAAGAAGTCATGTTTTTAATTAAAATAAAAAAGGACAAAATGGGTGAGACTACACCTCAAAAATAATCTGTAACCTGGAAGCGTAAGCAGAGACCACCTAATGCAGATATGGGCCTATGTAGCTCACTGTTTGATGCAAACTAGAAAATACAGTATATAGCAAAGGTGACACTATATACTGTAAGTGAGAGATTTCATTTTTCCCAAATAAATTGGAATATTGCAATAGACAGTACTGATAAAATGCAATTTGATTACAGATTAAATAAAAGCATAAGAAAAGCCCATCCAGCCTATTGGTAGTTGACCAGGGACTGATGATATTTTCCCACTTGTAAATAACCTCTAATTCTGTCTCGTTTATTACATCATCATACAAAATGTATTGTATAATCACTACACAAAGTATCACAAGGCATCACACGACAAGTGATTTCCCATGTCCTCTAACTCCATCTGCTTTGTATTTGCTTGTATTGAATTTATTTTTTACAGCATCAAAAGTTGAATTTAAAAAATGTACATATAATTGAGACAGCACTGAATGCAAGAATTCATTTTCATTAAGTCTTCTCAGCCAAATCAAAGAGCAGCAGAAAACCCTATATCACAAGAAACAATACAACCTCTACTTCAAGACTGTGTATTACAAATTCTAATCTAGTAAAGTGATCCTTACATATAAATCCATTTTCTTGATGGGGCAGTATACATGATGTTATCAACATAATGAACAGATACTGTGTGTTTGCCTTTTTACAGTGAAAATATTAAAAAAAACAAAGACTTGATGAAATATCAAATACCCTGCATTCTTACTGTGAAACTGTAATTGAAACTGAATTTTCAAAATGCACAATCCTGATGTTGGGCTATATTTTCTGTGACCATAGTCCTAGCAAGTTTGACGAAAGCTGTGATAAAATAGCTGTTTGTGTTGCTGCTCCAATGGATGAGCTAGCTTTCACTCAGTGAAATCTAACCATTAAAGTTTTAGTGGAGGTACTACTGTATATACAGCTGACCAGTGATAATCTTGATGTTGTCTGTAGCTTAATCCAGCAATGAGCTATAAATGTGTGCAACCGGCCCAGATGCACTTCAACAGAGAGAGCGGACATCAGTGCCCACAACAATAAAAGTAAAAAACTATTTTGTGGCACCTTTTCACTTCCATTGCTTGGAAAAACAAAGAAAATGGCATACAGGATCTGAATTAGCAAACAAAGAAAAGACTTCTAAGTATTGCTAAAATTGACAGGGATGCTGAAACGGAAATGCTGAATCTTTCTGGGCTTTCTCTCTCTCACACACAGTCTACACAGAAATACAATTCATCAATATCATCTGTGATGTACAAAAAATATTCAGATTTCCATGTTACATTTACATCTTTTTTTCCATTAGTCATTTTTCTAAGCTTTTCACAGGCCAAGGTATTCTTTTGTGAATCTACCTGTCAATCAAGTAGAAATCAAAGAAACTGTTATGTTATCAGTCTGGCAGCTAGATCTAGAACAGTGGTTCTCAAACTGTGGTACGCGTACCGGCAGTGGTACGTGGAGTGCCGCCAAGTGGTACGCCAAATGACCCTGGAACTGTGTCGTGTGCGCTGAAAAATCAGGACGGGTTTTCATATTTTGTATTTTAATACGTGTTGAATATGCAGCCTACGTACTATGATACAGTGCGCGCTAATAGTTCAGTGGACACAAGAGATACTCTGTAATTCTATACCACTCTATAGGAATGCGTGCTACGGATGCAAGTGACCAATTGTATTTAAAAAAAGCTACTGTATCTCCAGCAAATAGGGAGAAAGGAGAATGTGCGTGATTTTGGAACTATGCCAACGTTCTAAACACAAGAATGCATAGAAATACGTGCTACGAACGCAGGTAATCTTGTGAGCACACGAAAGCATGATAACAGAAAAATATTTAAGATCTGTTCTAATTTGAGAAATATACACAGAGCGTCCCTGTGTTCCGCTCCCATGTGCATGAAATAAAAACTTTAAATAAATACGGAAATAAAAACGGAAACGCGGAAAAATGCAAGCTTGCGTATTGCTAAAGCAGGTAAGCTATGCTCTTTTTGAAGAACCTTATTTACCGTTGGCAAAAGAGCTGACACGTATTATGTGTAGAGAAAAAGCTGCTAAACAGCTCGACCTGCTGCCCCCCTCCCCCTGAAAGACACAGTCATTCATAGAATTATTGAAATGAAGGATAATATCAAAAGTACACTGATAGAGCGCGTTAAGATGAGCAGATGCTTTTCACTGCAATTAGATGAGTCTGTAGCCAATTTGCTTGTTTACGTTAGGTACGAGTTTGAGGGCATGTCCCATGAAGACTTTCTGTTCTTTAAACCGCTACCAACAGGAACTACAGGAGAGCATATATTTCAGCTTCTGAATGAATTTATCGAAGAGAATGGCCTCGACTGGATAAAATGCGTCTGAGTTTGTACAGACGGTGCTAGAGCAATGACAAGCTGACATAACGGTGTAGTTGCACGAATTAGAGAGGTTGCTCCAGAAATTAATGTACGCATTACAACATCCACCGCGAGACCTTTGCCGTCAAGAAAATGCCTGACGATTTAATATCTGTTAGACTCTGTTGTGAATTGTATCAAGGCTCGAAAAATTAATTCACATCTGCTTTGCTCAACTAAACAGGCTCACCCCTCTCACTGAAATGGTGCTTTTTTATTAGTTGTTGTTAATGTTTTTTTTTCTGTAAAACACTTTGAGAAGCCACCTTTAAAGGTGCTATATTATTATTATAATATTTATTATATGTGTGTGTGCACGCGCGCTCATGTTGGTCATTGAGAATTTCTGGGGTTCCTATGAGATCATGACTTGTAGGTGGTACTTGGATGCTTTGGTTGGATTAGGGGTGGTACTTGGTCCAGAAAGTTTGAGAACCACTGATCTAGAAGATGTCCTGGAACATAAAAAAAGACAGGGAGGAGACAAGAAAGAGACAGAAGAAATACCATCACCTGTCTCTTACTGTACGTTTGTGCGAGGTGAGAGGACCTTGATCTGATCAGTCTTGGATAATAATTTGAAACTTGTTTAGAGAGTTTGCTGTTCTACTTATTATTAGGAAATTCTGATTTCCTTTATTGTGGAATCCTCAGGCTAAAGACATTCTCTCATTTGGTGATGCATATGTAGAAAAGGGGGTTTGAATTCCCAATCACTTTAAGGCATTAAAGTTAAAGAAAGGGAGATTTAGTGCTCGGTTGTACACTTTTATTTGGTCAGCTTACAGTGTTAGCTTCTGGGTTTTCTGTGTCTGTAGAATGCAGGCCTCATTTTGTAAATAGAGTAATGGCTAATGTGTGTAACATTTTGTGTCATTTAGTTGTGTAGCTGTTAATAAATGTCTGTTCACTTCTGCCTTTGATTTATTACTTTATCACCAGAACTCACATGCCAGAACTCATGAGCCTCAAATTTAACTTATCACTCAGTTATACCTTTAATATTCCAATTTATTTTAATTATTTTATTCCCCTAGCTCTATTTGTCTGACCTTCCCTAGTCTGTAACAACATAATATAATCGTTATAATAAAATATAATAAGATCTTTGTGAAAGTCTAATTAAAAGAAGAAGAAAACATGATTAAACATACAATCCAAATACGTAACACAAACACTGTAGGGTATGAGTATATGGCATAGGCTAGCCAGCCACATTATTAAAGCCAATACTATGATTTCAAATCAGATGGATGAGGTCCTCAGATTAAACGGCTACTATCTATGAAACAGACCAGATGGGCCAAATGGTCTTCTCTTGTTTTTAGCCATGCAGAAGAACCACTATGCTGATTTTGTCTTTGTCTTTGAGAATTTTGAGTAATTTTATTATGTCCCCTCATTGTCCACTCTGTTCAAGACTAAAAAGCTTCAGCCTGTTAGTGTATGTTAGTGTTGCTCTTCTCTGGACTGATTCCACAGCAACATTATTGTACAGTATATTCTCTATAAGTGGTGACCAGAATTATACAGGTGGTAACAGGATTACAATACTTTCATAGTATAGGTTAGGTTTGGGGTTAGAGTTAAGATAATTTGTGGAGGAGAGTTTTCTTCTCAGATTATCAGAAACATCTAGAGTTGTTAAATTTCTAACAACACATGTACCTGTACAGTATGTCATCACTTAGATAGGATTCTGAATTTCAAGACAAAAATCTTGAAATTACCAAGGAGACTTTTATCAGCAGTGTAAGACATCGGAGTTCTCTCATTCTTTTTTATGAGCCTACCCCATTATGCATCAGCACATCTGTAGCTTGTCCAGAACCTATCTGCTGGTTATTCCACAGCACAGTGAAGAGCAACATCATTACTCCAGTGCTGGCCCTGACTTAGGGCTCTCTGTAAGTTTTTCTATTTTCCTTTCCAATTCTGATTTTAAACATGAAGCAGCTTAACAATAAAATTAAAAAGTAAAAGTGTATTCCATGCAGAAAAGAGAAGAAAAGAAAAATCAAACTTCTGGCTATAGACCCTTCTTCAGGTGTCAAAGCCAAAAAAGGCTCCAGGGCTGTTGTGTTTCTTTTCTTCTTTTTTCAGTATGAAATAAACATTTACTTGTTCCTTTGGAGCCAACGCATGCTGACGCAGATACTTACTTGTACTACTAACAATACATTTACAGTGGATTGTAGAGAATCAGCACCCCAAAGCTTTTCTGTGAAAAATTCACATTTGTTTAGGTCAGTATTATTTATTTCCATTTAAACCATTTCACTGTAATTTATTAATATTGATAAATGTATTGTGGACAAATATCACACTCATCTTTCACATCTTCTTTCTCAATGCTGGATTAATTGCATTATTACTAATACAGTACAATATACTTAATAAAGCACTTTGGAAGACATCTCTAAAGACAAAAAAAGTCAACAGAAAAAAGGAAAAACAATATAGCTAACATCCAGTCGACAACAATAAATCCAAACAGGTTTCCAGGTTAAACTTTAAGTGCCACTGGAGTCACAATTCCTTGTGCAGCAAATCAGAGATTCCAGAGTCTTGGTGCACAGAAGCAGAAAGCATTCTCACCCAAAATCACCCTTTTAGAGCTTGGTACAGAAAATCATTTCGCTGTTAACTTGCCTTACATACTTCCTTTTGTTGTCCCAGATGGGAAAATTGCTTTGAGGCAGATTAAGGACGTAATACAATACATAATACATTTACTGTAACACAACATACTTGTATTTAAAGTAACTTACGTTTATGCTCATTTGTACTATAGTGCATTTTACTAAAATTAATATGAGTGACGTACCCGAGGACATACTGTAATATCTTCATTGTAAAGTACATACAATTAATTCCACAACCTAAAAGCCAGAAACCTGACCTCTATTCCACATCACTTATGACATCACACATATTCCTTCTAATCGTATGTACAACTTTAGACGAATAAAAAGTACTTTGTGATGTGTAGGAAAAAACTAATTAACGGAAATCAACATGTGGACTTTCAAATTCGGTTATTCCTTGAGCAACTCGCTCAAACGTAAAGACGTGAATTGTTAGTTGTCATGTAGAAAGCATTCGGGATATTTTAAACACATTAATGGTGCATTCTTTTAATTCCCTTAAACGTTTTTTTTCATTGCCTTTCTTTCTGGGGTATTTCAGACGCCGTGTAAATGAAGTCGGCTGTTTCTGCACCCACTGTGTTGCCACTTAATGCTACTAACAGAAAACAGACCTTCTGCAGTGCAGCCGAGCTGTACCACAGATGAGCGACTGAGTGTGCCTATCTCACCTGAGCAGCAGCGGAGAGTACGGTCTCTGTCCTCTCCTCCGCGCACTGGGTAGGACTCGACAGTCCGCTCGGGACAGCAGCACGCACAGACACAGACACCGCAGGGCATGCATAGCGCAGCCGGAGCCCCTGTCCTCTCTTGCCCCTCTGCTGTTCTCTGTGTCAGATCACCGTCCCGCTGTCATTCTAGTCGAGGTCCCAGCTGAATGAAGAGATGCCATCGACCATCAGACACGATTTGGGAGAGCAAAACAGAACACCTTTTGCGCTTCGGTTGTGTTTCCTCATCCCCTCTTCGGCAGCCTTACGGGCACAGCACACACGCGTCCCTGCGTTTCCCCCCAACGATATCCTACACTTCCTTCGTGATGACTGTAACCCCACAGAAGGGCTGTTTGGTGCACTAGGGTGCACCGGTCGTCTGTATGAGGAGAAGCTGTCAGTGTCAGCGCGGTTGCTGCAAACAGCCCAGTGCCTCCTTACCCGCTCTCGCTGCGGGACAGTCTGCAGCCCCAGTCGCTGCGGAAACTGGAGCCTCCAGATCTGATTAGAACAGGACTCCTCGGGCTGGCTTCCTCTGCCGCAGACTCGGACGGAAATGCTTTGCCTCCAGCGGGCTGTTTACATTCCCTCGACCTACCGCAGACTCCCCCTGCCCACTGCCCTCGGCAGCTCCAACCTTCCTGCCCTCTCTGCCCCAAGGCCTCACTCACTCCTGCGCTCGGCCCTTGGTTCGCCGCATGAGTGTCCCGTAACTGGAGGCCGGATTCCTGAAGCCCTCGGGACTCCATCCCTCTCCTGAGTCATTTTAAGCACAATAGAATTTTTACAAAAAGTAACTTTTGTGACAATGTTTATGATTATTGGTATTGTTGTTGTTATTGTGTGGGAAGCTCCCAGTCTGTTTGGAAATACTTTGTTGTGCGTTTCATCTGTGCTTTCCTAACACGTCAGCTTCAGCTCTTATCTGTCGGGGCTATGAGGTGAGTGAGGTTTGTTCATAGTGCTGGCTGGCTGAGACTCGCTGTCTGTGAAATACTAGTGTAAAGGGAAGGGAGCGGAGTCAAGGCATAGGCCTGCGCCGCTAGAGGGAGCCATTCCCCTGCAGTGTTTACATTCCTGAGCGGTGCTGTCACCCAGACAGCTCTCAGGTCACACGCAGCGCGGACACCCGCTCCGCCGCGGGACTCACGGCTCACTAAGACTGCAGGGACTGTGAGGCAGACTCAGGGTAAACCAGCTTATTCTTTAGAAGAACTCATTATTTCATTTCACCAACAGAAGGCTCTACGTTTCAGATGATTGACTCTTTGCAACTTTCGCTTTTAAAGCCTTTTCCCAATATTGTTTCCAGATTCATTTTTTAAAATATTTTATTTGTAAGATTCACAATGAAAACAACCATTGATAAAGTTCATTTCTAGATGATATTTAATAGTTTTTCAATGTTTGTTTTTTCGCCGGAGGCTCAGAAGCGTTGCTAACAACAAACCGTCGTTTTGAAAGTTGAAATCACTTCTCAGATAATTTTTCTCCTCATTCTTTCTGTGCATAGTAGGGTGCATAGTAGGTTTTAATGCTACATGTTCTACACATTACCGTAGTAGGCAGTTATTCGGTATATGTGTATATTTTGAAATTTATGTAAATAGCTTTTTCCAGCTTTTCATCCTTTGCAGCCTATGCACTAGGGACAGTCAGGGCTGGATTTTGGTGTTCGTAGGCTCTAGGCACTTTCTCTCCAAAATGTGCAAAAAGAGCCAAAAACGCCAGTTGAATTACATCGATTAACATGATGCACTTTGAACTATTCTAATACCAAACCACGTGATTGGTGGATCGAGTCAAGGGTCCATCACTTCGATACTTGTAGTTTCTAGAACAGCCGCTAGATAGCGTATTATTATTGATTTGGAGCACCTAGAGTTGATCGCAAGCATATTGTTTCAGCTCGTTTTTCGTTAGTCACTAGTGTTTCCCTCCTTTGTAGGCCCTAAAAATTTCATAGGCCCTAGGCACTGTGCCTACAGTGCCCAATGAGAAATCCGGCACTGGTGTCAGTGTCAGAGGTGACAAATCCTGCTTCCTGACAGACATCCCCTCAGGTCCCCAGGAATCTCTGGAGCACTCTGGGCTGCAGACGGGCTTGCTGCACTGACTGGTCAGTCTCTCACCCCCTGTCCTGTTCACTGTAGAAGTCCCTGTGTCACAGAAGTTCACTCTTCAGCTAGATCCTGGAGAGCCTTCTCTGTCTAGAAGTTGACGTCGGTTCACAGCCAGTGCCCAGGCACTCAGTGCTTTGTCAGGGTGTGCTGCCAAGTGCTGCCGAGGTGTCCCACTAAGAACTGCAGTATTGCAGTGTAACCCTACAAAAAACCCTAGTTTTGTTTGGTTCCAGTTGAGCCTCCCCCCATCAATTACTGCATTAATTAAAATGTAATACTGTCCTGACAACTTAAAATGTACAATAAATTACCCAGTCTCAAAAGTCAAACCAACTTTTTAGAGTAGTAAAACATATTGTAAAAATCATTTAAACATGAAGTTACCTTCTAGCCTGGACCTGTCAGATCTCAGACAGTCTGGACCTGGTCTGTTCTGAGTGAAACCTGTTTGTTGGTCTTTGTGGACCACTAGGTGGTGCTCTGCCCACTGAACCAGAATTTCTGAATCAACAGTCCAGAATGGTGACAGGGACACTGGGCTTGTGCAGTCTGACCTGCTGACCTACAATTTCCCACTTAATTTTATTTGTGAAGCACATTCTCCATCTGGCCACCTGTGTGGTGGAGCTGTAGCCACAGAGTGTGCATCACTCGGGGGGCTGCACTTCAGTGGGAGAAAAAGTGAGTCCCCTCCTACACATGCTTTGTGTCACGATTATAGCTCCCCCTCCTTAAGGGCGCTCCAGCCCTTTCACTTGAGACTTTATTCTGTGCACCTGTTTCCTATTCCCAGCCCACCTTAAAAGCCAGGCGCTGACGCTCATCTGGGCTCTGCATCTGGTTTCCGTACCGTGCGAGTCCGGGACCTGGAAGCGCCTGTTCCCGTTAAGGTTTTAATCTCGGTTCCCGTTCCTGTTCCCTGTCCGCCAGTTCCGACCTGGCCTTCGTGTTTTAATTCCGTGTTTTGATGGATCTCCTGGTTTTGGACTTACTCGTGTGTTTTTGGATACTCTAAGGATTACTCTTTGGGATTGTTCGCCTCGGCCACACCTCCCCCGTGCACCAGCGCACCTTGGACACGCCCCCCTGTCTTCAGCCCCGTATTCCTGCATGACGTTTCCCTAGTGTTTCCCCACTTCGTCGGATTGTGTCGTCCGCATAGGGTCCGGAAAGAACTGTTCGTTACACTTTGGGGTCCTTCAGGATAAAAAGCTCTATATTAAACCAAGAGAATATTATGTTGATATCTGATTGACTAAATTAATCAATTAAGTAATCTAAAATAATCATTATAACATCATTAAACAACATTACCATTAAAACCTGAACACTTCAGGAAGAAAATGCTGCTGGGACCCTGAGTACAACAGAGTCCCAGAGGGAGGCTGTCAGTAACACACAGACAGAGTTAATAACAATCAGTCACTGATAAGAGGTGTAGAGTGGTGAGACAGTAAGGTCTGCTGTCTGAGCTCCCAACACTGTGGCTGCCACACACTGCAGGGAGGACACATGCACCAGGGGAAAAACACACAAGTGCACAAGAAGAAGTATAAAACCAATTACAATATTTAATCTCAGGTATTTTCTTAATTAAAACTTTTCTCAGGTTATAAGATGGCAAAGTTAAAATGTATCTTCAATATGCATCTTCCATATTCAAACTGCCAAGCTGTAATTAAATGACCTGTATAACTGGAAGAGATAGCAGGATAGTTGTGAAAACTGTCTTCCTCCAAAATGACAGAAACAGATACATAATGATAGTGACACTTGGACATTGAGAAGCAGGGAAGTGCTGAGAAAATCACTCGTAGCCTTCTTAAATCCAAACCAGCGTAAATTTGAGTAAGTCTTGACTTAAACTGACGTAATTAAACACAAATGAGTAGTTAAGGCACAGGGGGAGGTACACTTAAGTGCTTCCCTAGTTTCATTAGCTTAGTCAAGGAAATAATTAGAAACAGGCGTTTGAATAATTGAATAGATGTTTGGGTCTGAGTTTGGAAGGCCCAATCCTATATAAAGATCAGAAACATTTTTATTTATTTTTTTGTTTCATTGTGAGTTTGGTTTCACCATGCTAGTGTGTAGAAACAAGTCAGGCCAAGATCTTAGGAAATAAGATCTAAGGACCTCAGAAAAAGAGTTATTGTTTCTCATCTGTCTGGAAGAACGATTTCTAAGGATTTCATCAGTCCACTCTCAAACAGGCAGTCTACAAATGGAGAAAGCTTGAGACCACAGTCATTCTAACTAGGAGCATTCATCCTACTAAAATCTTTCTAAGAGCAAACTGGAAAGTCATCAAGGAAGTTAAAAAGAACACCAGAGTAACATCCAAGGAACTGCAGGCCACTCTCACCTTGGCTAATGTTCATGACTCAACTTCAGAAAATGACTGAACAAAAATGGTGTTCATGGAAGAATAGCAAAAAGAAAACCACTTCTTCCCAAAAGGAACACTGCTGCCCATCTGAAATTCACTAAAGAGCACATAGATCATTCACAAGGCTTCTGGAACAATGTTTTCTCTGCAGCCAAGTCAAAGGTACTGTAGAACTCTTTGGCCTCAAAGAGAAACATTTGTTTCAAATGTTCCAAACATTGCTTTCAAACAGAAGAACCACATCCAAACCATCAAAAATAGTGGTGAGAGTGGTGGTTTGGGGCTGCTTTGCTGCTTCAGGACCTGGGTGGCAGGCTGTCATTGACACAACTATGAACTCTGTATTGTATCAAGGTTCTAGAGGAGAATGTCAGACCCAATCACAGTGGGTATATCACATAACCCAAGCTACAGTAGCAAGTTTCAGATGGCATGTCTGAACTAATGCTCTGAATAAGCACATTTGCAGTTGGAACCACTCAGTAGCTGCAGATCTATAAAATTACTATAAGGTGTACTACAGTGCACTATTACAGGGTGATGCAGATGCTGTGGTTCACAGCCCCAGTGTATCAGATGGATGTCTCCTCAGTGCGATGCTCTTTGCCCTCTTCATCTGGTACACCACATTGGCAGCTTCATCTGAGAGACCCTGCAATCACACAGACAGTGATATAAACAGAAATGCAGACAGAGAGGGAGATGGAGACAGACAAAAAGAAGACACAAAGAATGAGTCAGGAAAGCAGACTGCATGCTAATTGAGAGCGGACAGATAAAAAGAAAGAGTGTGACAGTCTTCTACCCTATTGAAGATAACTGTTTTTCTTTAATTATAATACATAACTGAATGAATTATAGTAAAGTTGAAATGTCAGGTAAGAATCTATACCAGCCTTAAAGTTTACATACTATTAGAACATATCACAATGGAGCATACAAGGACTCATCTAGTTCCAATCATCTGCAAACTGACCTTCACTGGGACTGTCTTGCTCTGCGGCAGATCTCTGGACCTCTGGTTTTGAAAAGACAAAGCCTTTATAAGGGACATGGATTACAATAGGATTGAAGCAGTGGAGGAGGGGAAGAAGGTATCGGAGTCGAGAAAAATAGAGGTGGAGAGGTCAAAACAACAGGAGGAAAAGGAAGTCAGACAGGTTCTGTTGAAATGATAGGAATGGATCCTGGAGAAACTGGCTAAGAGGTACGTATTAATACAGGCTGAGACAAAGGTATCAGTGGGAGAAAAGGAAAAGATCTAAGTACCATCTGTATAAAACTGGTTGGAAAAGCTGTGGAAAAAGCTTAAAGATCCTAGGGAGCAGCATGAGACCTAGAACAGAGCCTTGGGGGAATCCAGTGGAGAGTGAGTGAGGTTCAGAGTTCACATTGTGCCAAGACACCAGGCAAGTGATGGTATATGGTGTCATATACAGTATTTCCAGGTCAGCAAACATTGACAGGAGGATGTACTGTATGTATGATGTACAGTTCCAGAGACATCAAGGGGATTAACACAGATGAGAGGGAATCAGCACAAGCCAATTGAAGGGCATTGGTAACTGAGAGAAGAGCAGTTGCAGTAGAGTGTATTTGTCCAAGGCTACACAGGTGAGGATTGTGCAGTGAGTGTTAAGAGAGGTAAGTGGAGAGCAGTTAGTAAGCATCCTGTTCAAGGGGTTTTGTGAAAAAAGAGACGGGAGACAAGGCCATAGTTCTCGAGAAAAGGAATCAATGGTTGTTTTTTCTAAGAGACGTGTGATGCAGATGTTTGTTAAGGAATAGGGTGAACATCCTGAGAAGAGAGAAGTTAAGGAAGGAGATCAGGGGCAGCAGTTTAGAAGAGGAATATTTCTCGTGGATCCAGCTGGAAGGTTTATGGCCCAGGATTAAGAACATGGCATCAATGAGGAGAACAATGAGTGTCAAAGGAGAAATGACAGGGTGGGAAATGTAGGGTGTGGAGGTGGAGTAGCTTGTTAAAACACACTTCTGTCTGTGTGTGAAAGTGGACACATACAGTGTGTGTGAGTGACGCAGTGAACACTTTCTTTCATGAAGGAGGTGCTGTGATCTCACCTGTGTGTTTTCTGTGAGATCTTCACAAATATGGCTCATGGTGCTGATCCAATTGCCATAAACACTCTCCTCATTGGTGTTAGGCTGCTTGTCACTGTGGGCAGTGAAGAAATATGTTGTGAGTGCAGATAAACACACAAATCACACACACAGACTCTGATACTCACATACAAACACACACAACATAACTGGAAACAGCAGGATCTGTTCTACATCCCTGATCCCTTTCCCCTGTTCCACTGATCCCATTTGCTTCACAGTCTGCAGTTTGTTAAGCATAATATGTCACATACTGTACCAATATGACATCGGTCTAAATAATAAAAAAATCTGCCAAAGTCCCTTGTGGAACTCTGTGATGGAGCTGTCAGCTCTAGGGCCCTGTTGAAGGCTGATGAATGTTGCTTTCTGTCCTCCTTGCAGGACCAGACATGTAACGTGAGGGTGGGTAGCAGTGTGAATTTCTATATTGCTAGACCTCTGAGTAAATTGAATGCTTTGTTTGAGGTTCATTAGGCATAATGCATAAAATATGCATCTACACTCTCCAGGAATGGTTACTTATCATTTTAACTTTAGCTGGTCTTCAGCAGTACAGGTGAGTTCTGCTTCATTCTGGAGTGTGTTCTATTCATATTCTCACTGTAATGGGCAATTCTGGTCAGCAGCTTCAGGTTTCTTAATTAATTGCATACAAATGTGTATATGCATGGTAAGATTGTGTTTCTCTAGGTTTCATTCATTTAAAATTACTGGTAAACTGTACTAACATTTAACCTTAGTGGTAATCTGAATTAACCATTGTTATTGTTAATCTACATTAAATTTCATTTTAAATTCACAGTACCAGGTTGTTACTGAGGTAAAAGAGGTATGCTCACAGAAGAGCTTTAAAAGCTTCACTCTTCATTGACAAAAGTGTACTTTTTTCTCAAACTCCAAATGTATAGTACTGTAGATTGGATGAAGAGACAACCACACTTTGTTAATCACTTGAATCCATTTCTTTTTCTTATGTAACAGCTAGATTAAATACCAAGTGTGCTAGATGCACTCAATGGCCTTCTCTCATTTGTAACTGTTCATACATGTGATTTCTCATGGCGGATTGGAAATTTTGAATTCATGCCAGGGAATATTTCCTTCTGTACCAAACAGTATTCTCCTTCCTCACTTTTTCCTTTCTCCCTTGTACCTGATTTGCTTCAGGAGTTCTTGTTGTGCTTGCAGCTGTCTCTGTGCCTCCAAGACTCTGCCTTCCATAGTGAGGCGGGCACACAACTGGGCACAGTGCACTCCAAGCACTGACATGTTCAGACTGCCAGTCCATACCCAGCTACAGAGTTTAAAAAGAGTATATTAAAGTGAAGAAAGCTGGTGATACTGCACTGCACAATCCATATTGAATCTGTACTATTGAGTCAAAGTTAATATACGGTAACACTGGCTTGCAATGTCATCATATAGTTATAGTACCCTTATGCTTAGGGCCCCTTGTTATATTTTACAATTCAACTACTGGTTGTAAAGTCTATACATTTATACTGGCCACCTAGTCAATATAGTGCTACACGGCCACACGCAATCAATAACATATAAAAAAATCTCAAATGTCTATATGACAGAATTTCAAAAAGCTATGAAACCAAACTAGCCAAAAGGGACAGATATTATTTTAGCACTTTTACTGGGAGGAATGAGGTTTCTTTACAAAGTTTGGCCATACTTGTGAGATAGAACTGACAGTCATCATATTTAAGTACATAAATAAAGTGAAATAAAGTAAATAAAGTGTTATCAAAAAGTATATAAATAAAGTGTTATCAATTAATCTTTTATGAGGGAATTTATGAAAAACCTATGGAAAATAAAAATATGGAAGTCTATAATTTATACTCTCTGTAGAGCTACTGTTGTTGCTTATTCAAATAACTCTAATAAGTTACTCCTTTACTATTCTTGTTCTTTTGTAATGCTGAAAAAAAATAGTTTTAATATCTATTGAAATGGTGATTCTCTCTTGGTCTTTCTAAGGTTAGTATTTTTAGCTCTGGTTTCAATTCATTGTACTAAGATTTTTTAATCCTGTTGTTGTTTGTTATGTGTCTGGACATCATCTACTTAAATACTTAATGAATGTTTTTATATTTGGTAATGCTATAAACATCAGTGTACAATGCAGGTCTGACTGTGCACTTTTGGTATACAGTGCACTGTCGGTATACTGTATGTGTATATGTTGCAATGCTAACTCTTTGGTGTAAATTTAAGTCTTGATTAAGCATTCTGAAAATATATGCTGATTTTTATATGGTGTAATATAGTACAAAATAGTGCTTTATTGCACAAAATCCTGCAAGGTTTTGAAAGTATCAATCCGATGGACTTCAATTCTATTAGCAGTGAAGCACAAACCATAGGTCACATGTGGAAATTATGGGTATTTGCTTTTACATCTGAAAACAGGAGACACTGCTTCACACAAAGGGTTGAGGATTCTGGAATAAGCTACTCAGCAATGTTGTTGAAGCTGAAACCCCTAGTTCTATCAAGAAATGGCTGGAAGAAATCATTGGATCAATTAGATTCTAACTGCCAAACAAGGCAGATAGTTCAAATGCAGTTCTAACTCAGTGAGCTGTCATCTTTCATTGTAGGGTGAAGTTCTGACACGCAAGTCAGTACACGGTCAGTGGTTTGTGATAGTGGATCACCTGCTGGTTGTTACTCTCCTCTGCTCTGTGAGGATGCGGGTGGCTTTCTGCAGCTCCCGTGTCTTGAAATCCAGTTGGAGTTGAAAGGGAAGTCTGTCCCTCCGCAGAAAACCTGCAGCGCAAAAAAGAACAGAGGTAGTCAGACTGTGAAATCTTATTAACCAGGAAATCCAGTTGAGATGTAGATCTTTAAAGGGAGACCCTGGGGGTGAAATTAGGGCAGGAAACACTTTATTACCTGACTGACAAAGGGGGGTCATCAGTGAGTCCAGAGTTTCTTAACATGTTTCACTAGAGAGGTGCTCTGTTGCAGGGGCAGAAAATTAATTCACCATATCTATTATATGAGAATCAGGGATAATCTATCATACAGTAATCTATCATAGAAATCAGCATGAAGAACGTTTGCTTACCCACACTGGTCCATAGTCTCATATATTTTAGACATAAAATGTAATTAGATCTTCCTGTAAGCCTTAACAAAAACAAAAATAACCTGAACATATAACATAGACATAAGATACTGTATATTTGGATTTTTTAATCAACACAAAGATCCAACAAAATATTCTTGTGTGGATGTGTACAGTACATGAAGTCTTAGATTCAGTCATTAGGGGCTCCTCCTTGTGCAGCAGTGACTTCAACTTCACATTTCCTGTAACTGTTAATCAGCCTCCCACATCATCCTTTATGAATTTTGGCCTACTCCTCCTTACAGAGCTGCCTCAAGTCAGTGACATGTGAGGGTTTCCTTGCTTGAACAGCTCGCTTCAAGCCCTGCCATATCATTTCAATGTAGACCTGATTGTATGTTTAGGATAATTAGGCCTGATGCCTGACATTGTCCTCCCTGCGTACTTCATTGCATTGTCCCAAATGGGAAATTTGCTTTGCAGGCAGGTAAAAGACATGACACAATACAAAATGCATTTAACAGAACATTAACTGATTAACAAATAAGAAACACATGTATATATTGAGAAATAAAAAAATAAATCTATAATAAATTGTCCAAACTAAGCAGGCTAATAGCAGTGGGAATAAAGGATAACTTATTCCTATTGCACTTAAATCTGGGAAGTCTAAATCGATGTCAAGATGGAAGCTCGTATTCACTGTGCAAGAAGTGGTCATGACAGTCAATTATTAATTCACTTTCCTGCTCTGTCTGTTTTTATTGCATGTATTAAGGTTACCAAACCAGGCTACTGCAGTCAATGTTTGGACAGATTCAAAAAAATCATCATTGTACAACACATTGTAAAAGAACAGAGTTTCTCGGGAAGAAGAATCACTGCTGGTTCTGTTTACATACATGTATGGTATCCATGTTTTCCTCAAAGGTAAGCATGTAATCAACAATAGTGCCAAGATTTTTGTATCTGTTTTTCAGTTTCAATTTCTTGCTTCTCAGTCACTGATGGTTTTGTAACAGGTGGTTGCTTTCTGTAGTTCATTACCATATCCAGTTTTCGACCCATTAAAATTGATGGAAGGAGTTGTTACACTACTTAAAAAAATAATTCACCACAGGCCCACGATCTGTGCCTCAACAATGATTGATTGAGCTCCCTCAACTATGACAATCATTTCTGGTCTTGAGGCACATAAGCAGTCACAAACCATGATACTCCCACCACCCTGCTTGACAATTAGGATGTGATTCTTCTGTTGGGAGGGAGTGTTTGGTTTTTGAGTCACAGAATGTCCAGAATGAAAAAACCTTTGACTCATCTATCCAGGAAACCGTCTTCCAGTTGTCTTGTGGATCATCCAGGTGCTCTGTGTGGAGCTTCAGATGGGGGACAATGTTTTTCTGAGAGATCAATGGAACTGACAGCAGCTCCACAGCCCAGTATTTGAATTTGAAGTGTGGAAGGAATGAGAGAATGAGAGAGAAAAAGAGCTTTTCTGTGCATTCACTCTGATAATATTTTTTCAAACTGTGTGGGTCTGCAGTGTTGCTGGCAGTGTATCTACAACCTGTCCGTCTTACTCTCTTGTGTGTGCAACCCCCACAAACTGCAATGGATGCTCTTCAGTTTGAAGACTGGATTGGTCAATCCTGGATATTTTATATATAAACCGTGACACTCACTCTCCACACTGGAGGGTTTGACAGCAAATTCAAAGGTGATCTCCAGGCCCTCGGTCACATTCCCAACCTCCTTAACCAACTTGTGTGAGCAGTGATCTTCATAGGGGTAGAATCTGAGACAGAGAGAGAGAAACAAAGAAGGAGAGAGAGATTATAGGAATATAATTACCACCAGGGCATGCCACCATGCTTATTGAAGTACATGCATCAGACTGACAGCACTGAGAATAATGGGGGTGACGGGGCAGCAAAGGCAGACACAGATGTGAGGAGAGAACAGTTAGAGGTACTGTAGGCAGCTGTGAGGAGAGAACAGTTAGAGGTACTGTAGG